CCAGGCGGGTCTCGAACCCACAGGCTCAGGCAGTCCACTCACCTCAGCCTCCCAAGGCACGGGATTACAGGCTGAGCCACCAAGCCCGGCTTACATATATTTTTTTAGAGACAGGGTATCACTCTCATAGCTCACTGCAGCCTCCACCTCCTGGGCTCAGGCAATCCATGTGCCTCAATCTCTGGAGTAGCTGGGACTACATGAGTGTGCCACTACACCTGGCTAATTTTTTAAAAAAATTTTTTGTAGAGACGAGGTCTCACTATGTTGCCCAGGCTGGTCTTGAACTCCTGGCCTCAAGTGATCTTCCCCCCTGGTCTCCCCAAGTGCTGGGTTATAGGTATGATCCACCAAGCCCAGGTGAGTTAGGTTGTACGTGCAAACGGGAGCTGGTTCTTAGAGTGAATCTAGAATAGATGGAACAGGGAGCCTACTTCCTGGCCTGAAACATTCTTCACCCCTCGAGATATGCATGCAATCAGCTCCCTCACCTCCTGCAGGTCTCCCGCCGAATGTCCCTGCCTCTGAGAGGCCCTCCCTGAGCCCCATCACCCCACACCCCCCATGTGGCTTGGTTGCTCTGCCTGTCCTGTGATGCATTTAGCTTGTTTCCTCCTGTCTCTCCTCCCTCGTGACGGGTCCAGGAGGCCAGGAATTATGTTTCTTTTGTTCACTGCTCCCCAGCATCCAGAACAGTACATGGGCACACAGTAGGTACTCAATAAATATCTTGTTGGTGCCTTAAGCACCAGGCATTGTTTCTGCCCCACCGTGAACTAGATGTGGTTCCTGCCCCGGGGGACTCAGTCCCCCGATGGGGACACACCGGATGCAAAAATAGCCGTCCCAGCCATGACATCATCACCAGGCAAAGAAACACTACAAAGGCAAATTCAAGTTGTTCCCAGGGGCTCCCTGGCGGGCCTGGGCCATCCAGGCTAGGAACAAGGGTTCTCCCCTGGATCAGGGCACAGCCCCCACAGCCCCGCTGCTGTTTGTCCCCTCCCTCCTGCCCCTCAGGGTGGTCCCACCCCTTGGGCTGGGCCTGGCCTACCGGCTTGAGATTGAGACAACATTTGGTGGGTTGTCTGGGGTGGGTCTCCGGAAGGGTCATTGGAGGGTTCAGGGCTGCTAAGACCTTCCTCTTCTCCAGGAAGAAGTCACTGAGGGACCCCCAAAGGAGGACATGCCCCCGGGAATCCTGCCTCCAGTGAGTGATGCGATTTGGAATAGGGCTGGAGGCGGGCGGGGACAAGCGGGACCCTCACGGAGGGTCGTGGAGGGTGATTTGGGCAGTAATGGCCCAGAGTGACTGGAGCTTTGGGGACTACAGAAACCGCCCCCAGGCCCTGTCCCCTACCTTGGCACCTTTCTCACGGACCTGGTTATGCTGGACACAGCCCTGCCGGACATATTGGAGGTCTGACCCCTGACCTTTGACTCCTGACCCCAGCACAGTGGGCCTCCCGACACTCACCCTTAGCCCTGCCAGCACCCCTCGACACCCCCTCCCGCCCCTTTACCAGAGGTGGCCTCTTGCCATCCCAGCCCCTGACTTTGACCCTTGACCTTGGATGTTATAATTCAGACGAACTTTGCCCCCAGGGAGATCTCATTAACTTTGAGAAGAGGAGGAAGGTGAGTGGGCACCAGGGTAGCCGGTGGGGGGCAGTGCCCAAGGGTGGGCGCAGGGCAGGGATGGGGTCTCAGAGGCTGCCCCTCCAGGAGTGGGAGATTCTGGCCCGCATCCAGCAGCTGCAGAGGCGCTGTCGGGGCTACAGCCTGAGCCCCCGCCCCGACATCCTGGCCACCCTTCGAGCCCAGCGCCAGCTCAGCGAGGAGCAGAGGTGACCACCCTGCGGCCCGGTCCAGTCCCACCCCAGCTGACCCTGGGTCTCAGGTGGCCCCGCTCGCCCCAGGCCACTTCCAGCTCCTCCCAGGACCGTGACCCCAACCTGTGACCCTGCATTATCGCCAGCCCCATCCAGGGCCCCAGTGGACCTTTGACCTCAAACTTTGGCCCTACCTGCCTTTCTGACCTGGTCCTTTAACACTGAACTCCACTGCCCAGTCGGACCTCCTTCCCACGTGGGTCCTGTCCGAACTGTGGCCCCATGGTGACCCACGTCTGACTTTCTGACCCCGATGGCCAACCCCAGCCCTGAGTGACCGACTCTGCCTCTGCTTTCCTTTTTTTTTTTTTTTTTTTGAGTTGGAGTCTCACTCTGTCGCCCAGACTGGAGGGCAGTGGCCGCTCCCAGCCACCGCAGCCTCGACCTGCTGGGCTCCGGCAATCCTTCCGCCTCAGCCTTTCGAGTAGCCGGAGTTACAGGCGTGTGCTACCACACCCAACTAATTTTTGACTTATTGTAGAGATGAGGTCTCACTGCCCAGGCGGGTCTCAAACCCGCGGGCTCAGGCAATCCACTCACCTCAGCCTCCCAAAGGCGCAGGATTACAGGCTGAGCCACCGAGCCCGGCTGCCTCTGTTTTCTTGATGGTGCAGCTGACTGCCCACTCTGTCCTTTCCTTCGGTGGAGTGTGCCCCTGACATTCCCTGCTGGGCTCACCCGTCCCAGCCTGACTCTGACCTTCAGCCTCAACCTGATTTGACCTGTGGGTTCTGCCCTGTGGATTCCCATGTGACCTCCAGCCGCCCCCACCCCATCCCTGACAGGACCCTGAGGCCCTGATGACACCCGCCTCCAACCCAGGCCCTGACCCTTGGGGCCAACCCTGGGCAGCTCCGCCCTCCCCCCAAGCCCACCTCCCTGCGGATTCTAACCTCACCTCTTCATCCCCTGTGGCTCCTGCCCCCTTCACATGGCGACCCCTCAGCTACCGAGTGTCCCGTGTCATCGAGCCACCAGCGGCTTCCTGCCCTAGCTCCCCACGCGTGCGGCGGCGAATCAGCCTCACCAAGCGCCTCAGTGCGTGAGTCTGGGGGCATGTGGGGGTGAGGTGGGTGGGCCGGGGGGCCGCCCCTGCCTAAGCGCTTTACTCCGTCCGCCTCCTCAGGAAGCTCTCCCGAGAGAGAGGCTCGCGCCCTGGAGGGAGTCCCGGGGACCCCTCATCACCTGCCTCCAGGTGAGCCTCCCACTTGTGAAGGGGCTGGAGGAGGCAGGGTCAGGGGTCGCAGTGGCTGCCCCACTCGGGTTCTGCGTCCCCCCCAGTGTGTCCCCAGGGTCCCCACCGTCGAGTCCGAGAACCAAGGACCCTCCTGGCAGTCCCCCAGCCTCTCCAGGGCCCCAGAGCCCCAGCACCAAGGTATCAAGACTGCCTGTGGGGGGGACTTTGGGGGCCCAGGCTCTGTGTGTGTCCATGTACTTGTGTGTGCATGTCCGTGGCCAGCTGTCGATGCAGGAGACTCGCGGAGCCCCCAGGTGTCCAGCTCCTTCCAAGACCCTCTTTGGAGTGCTGCACCCAGCCAGGGCCCTGTTTGAGCGATCAGCCAGCCCCCTTGCCTTGAGCTCAGACCTGCCCTCATCAGCTCACCCACAGGGTACTCCAGGTCGCGATTACACACTTCTTCGAGGACGTGTGTCCCTGGAGTCTGCATACCTGAAGGAGAAGTGTGGGATCGTGTTCATACGTGCGAGACTGTGCGTGGGGTTGCTCCTTGACATGGCTCTGGGGGCCTGACCACTGTGAGCACATGTGTGTACACTGGAGTTCTTGTGTGTGAATGTGCGTTTTTTTGTTGTTGTTTTTTTTTTGAGTTGGAGTCTCACTCGGTCACCCAGACTGGAGTGCAGTGGCTGCTCCC